GCTCTGCTCTCTTTTTCTCTTTTTGGCTCCGGATCAATGTTGACATTACTGCTGTGATTAATTGCAGCCTTGTTTGTGGTTGTGCATCTGTGCGTGTGTGTGTGTGTGTGTGTGTGCGTGTGTGTGTGTGTGTGTGTGTGTGTGTGTTTGTGTGTGTGTGTGTGTGTGTGTGTGTGTGTGTGTGTGTATGTGTTTGTGTGCTCAGACATGCTTGAGTATCACTATCCCTGCAGTTGGCTTGAGTCACTGTGGGAAACCTAGTTACAGAAGCCAATTAGAGGCCACACACACACACACACACACACACACACACACACACACATTTGTGTCTTACTGGCCAACATATGACCACCAAAGTCGTATGTACTAGTCTCTAGTAGCATGTAAACATGACGTAGCTGTTCTCTCTCTCTCTCTCTCTCTCTCTCTCTCTCTCTCCCTCTCTCTCGCTCTATCTCTCCATCTTTGCTTCATCTCACAGACACTAAGGAGCCAATTACTGTCCAGGGGCTCCAAGCTCCTTCTTTCCTGTCTCCTGCTGGTTGGCTGTGAGCTGACCAATCAAAGGTCTCATGGGGAGCAAAGAGCTGACCTGAGGAAATGTCATTGTGCTGAGTGAAGCTGCCCTACCATTTAATTAAACATGCCTATAATCTGCACTGTACAGTACAGCCCGTCCCAGACCTGTCTGCAGAACTCAGATTCTCTGACCTTCACTATCTTAATTTCCGCAGAATTAGCGTTATGGCAGTGACACAAAGTGCCTGTTGAACCTAATGGAAACAGAGAAATTTCACTTAAGATCTGATGGCTGGATTTTGAACATGGGACTTTTTTCTGAGGTAGGTGGAAAATCACACCAGAGTCTAAGGAAACAGTTTTTGACCGTTTCTACCAAAGTAGCATCTCAGATGACTCTTTTCACTCATGACAAGGTAATATAAAAAACTCACCCATCCCTTTGCAGCCCAGTGCCAACTGTGTGCTGTGCAAAGCCAAAACGCTGCATCCCTTTGAAGCATGATGCATCACCAATCCATCAGACTCTTTTCAGGGGCAGATCCTAATGTTCGCAGGATTAGGCGGAGTGAAAACATTTGACAAAAGCTGCAGGAGGCTTTGCTCCAGACTTGTGATGCAGAGTCGCTCGATTAGACAAAATCTAATTCAGATTTTTTGGATCCAGCAGCAGCTGATGTGTCAGTTGTCACACTCCAATAAAAGGGCTTTTCATTCGATCAAAGAACTTTCAAAGTAATGTTGAATAAAATGATCAGGCAGACTGTCTCCAGCTGTTACTTAACATGCATTATTATACAACCAGTAAAGCCAATCACAGTTGTGTAAGAACCCTGGCACAGGAAGGAAATACAGACCATGAATTAGACCAAAGGGCTATAAGTTTAACAACTCAAACCCACAGAGGCAAGCTCAGGTTTTCTTTCACTGTCTGCCTTTAAAATGTACAGATTTAGAGAAACTCGCCACCATATGTAACCTGCCAAGAAAAAAAAAAAAACTGAAATAAATAAAAAACAGACATAAGATTGTCCTGTATTAGGACTGTCAGATTACCAAAACATCATCTCACATTTACCAGAGCCAGACAATGAAGAAACAACAGCTCTGTCAGTCACATTAAAGGCTCATTTATGCTCACCATACGTATGAAAATGTATGCGTTTATTTCAAACAATGGTTCTGTCACTGCCCATATACTTCCATGCCTCCTTAACGTTGGCATGGATGTTAACCATTACATCCACCAGGGGGCAGGCCGAAGTCAAAAGTTTCTGACAACAACAAACAAAAAGACAAAACACTGCGACAGTGGAGAAGCTAGTGATAGTGTATATTTACATAGGAGATAGAAACAGAGGCAGCGTTGGAGGAGGCAGATCGATAAGGCAACTAAATGTTCGGATGAGAGAAATTGACAGTGGTCATCATTTTCAGTACTTCCGTCCACTGGGGCATTCAACAACTTGCTTCGCTGGGTAGTGACAGCAGCAACACTGCCCCCAACGGTTTCCAGTGGTACTGCTCCGTCTGGCCTGTATCTGTAGACTTAGAGGATGTGTGCAGAAATATGGACAAAAAGAACAGGAAGTACGGTACTTAAAGAGTACTTAAAGAAAACTGTTTTCTGCTATGAATCCTTCAGTTATTAAACCCAATTAAAAGTACAATCACACTGGCTAAAAGGATTTTTGCACAGTGAAGCCCTCAGGAAGAATACATAAATGTTTGAACATAAAAAACAGGTGCATCCTATAATACTGCAGAGATCTGGATTGTGCAACAAAAGATCATTTTTATGTATCAGTCCTTCACCATCCTGGTGTCACCGCTGAAGCTCCTCTGCAGTTTTCTGTGACTGAAACCCTTTCCATGTCCATGTTCATTTTTTAAATGTAACTAGGAAGCATAACTAACTGAGTGAAAACTCCCATCCAAGTTCATTTCAGACTCCTGCTGCTTTCGAAAGTGAATTCCTACTGTAGCTACATTTGTATGTTAAAGTACCTGGCGTGTAGTCTCAAAAGCGTCTCAGCAAGTGTCTGTGCCCTAAACCCCCTCGATGTTTCAGTGCAAACTCCTGTCATTCCGTGACAAAGGCTGACTAACCGAGTGAAAAGTTCAATTTGGGCTCCAACCAGAGCCTGCTCCCTGCAAAGACTGGGCCTCTCACAGCAGCAGACTCATGTCCATGAGTGTCACACACATGCTGTAACCACACAGAAATCTACACAGAAGATCCAGTCTGTGTCTCTGAGCACTACGGTAAGATGAGAGTCCACTTCCTGCGTTTGGACGTTTGGATGTTCATGTTGACATTGAGGCCTGAGATAAAACTGAGAAGGAAGCAATCGAGGGTCTGCCACTGAACTTTCTCCTCCATCTCATCTCCACTTTCTGACACGTGTTTCTTCAGACCACCTATCCAAGTCTTTATGTTTGTATGTAGGCTTATATGCTGACTTTAAGTACTCCTCTGGTAAACATGCCAAAGATATCTACTCTCTGAAAGTTAAGACACAGAAGAGTATGAAAAGAGAGGAGTAAAAGTTCTCTTTATAGACTTTCAAGGTGGTAGAATATTTAAGCAGACAGTGAAGTATTCTGGGTAGAAAAATGTGTTGTTTATTTCATTCTTCTTTAATTTCTATTTGTCATACCAGGATGAGGAATGTCTGGACTTTGACCTAGATACAACCTGCAAGTCTATTTGGCCTGGCCCAGATATACACAAACAACAACAGCAGTTACACACTTGGGAGCTAAGGGAGACAACACTACAGGACAACCTGGAGCAGAGGGCATAGACTGAAACACAACACCTGCTGTAGTCAGTTATAAAACCAACGTGAACAGTTCTGTGTTGTCACTAACATGCACCATGGTGGATGTCAGGAGAGTGGAGGCCAAGTGACATCCAAAGCACCTCAATTATGGAGAAGCACTGTCAAGGTAACATCATTATAACCTGAAATGTGCTTAACCTGCTCATCTTTGTGTTTGCTGTTCAAACAAGAAGTACTATTTTCTATCATGATCGCTGATATACAGGATATCAGGGCTTGAATCCCAGCTTGGGATGGCAGGTACCCCACAAGGCTGGACCTCATTATATGGAAAAATCCCACTTATATTAAAATATATTTTTTCATTATGGCACATAGCGAATCCTGCCAGTGACAGAGCACAGGAGAGGCCGGCAGAAGACGTCACATCAGTCTGGATTACTGCTCACTCTCGCTTTTCAGGACGGAGCAATTAAACCAGTAACTGTGTGAGGTACTCCCAACAAACCCTTCAGCTAGAACAAACACAGCTTTTGTGAGCGGGAGCTAATGTTAGCTAAACTCAATATTACTGTCGTTCCACTGTGTGAGGAGTTTTTAACAGGTGGCCCTTTTTTTCAAGAGGCTCAGTTTGGTTGTCTAAACACAGACTTGGGGTCGTACGAGATGAGACTTCAGTGTTAGTTAGGCTGATCCATAGACTGTATATAGAATGGACAATCTGCCTCCTCGCTGGGTGAAGCCACTGCGAGAACAGCACCCTCTGGTGACAGGCTGCAGTATAGGTCATAAACCCCGCCTCCACCAGCAAAGCTTATGGCGTTGTGGACAAACTTTAGAATTTCATTACACAGAATATAAATTTTTCGTTGACATGTTGTTACTTTAAGACTGGTTTGTGCTCAAGTCCTCTTTTTTCTGTGAGGCTCCATTTTTAAGAGTTATTAGGGGGTTCATGTTTTCTATGATTGACACTTAATACAGCCTATGGGTGACGAAGATTATGTAGCTCACCCCGGGGATACGCTGTTTGAGTCGAGCGTCATTACAGCGTCTATCGGTGACTCTCCCACCAAATGCGTACAACGCTACTGCACAATGTTGGTTTCAGGAAATGAAGAAAATTCGCAGAAATACAGAGAGCTTTTTGGCTTCAAATCCATATACTGACAGAAGGTGGAACCGAGTTGTCTATAGTATATGCAGTCTACGGGCTGATCCAGTTAAAGCTGTTCACCTCGGGTCACACACAGAGAGAGACAGAGTATTTTAAGAGCTTGTTTCATTCATTATTCCCAGTCTTGATTTTTGAAAAGTTACCAGGGTATGACTTAAACCTAAGAGGTTAGCTAATTCTTAATATTGTGAAAACAGTAAGATACTGTATAAATCCTAATACTAGTTCTGATAATAAGAGTAGCCTAAAGAAGAAGATCAGCAGCACTCATGGCAGTCAGACATTAGTACTATGAATGAGATGATACATTAGCTGTGTGTGGGGCAGGTATCAGACCCTGTGAGTCAGAGAAACCCTCACACTGGCCCTTAGAAAAGGAGGAAAAACTGGTCTTTTAGGGTGAACCTGTAGACAAATGACAATGAGTGTTTTGGGAGGAGTTTACTCTCTAAATTCTCTTGAAAAACGGCTCCAGCTGTCCAAACCTGAATGAGAGAATGCTAGAAACTCCAGGTAGGAAGAGTATTTTGCTGTATGCTGATATTGTTTTTACTATTCTTTAAAACAATCCATTTTGTAAGTCCTCACAGTACTCAACTTTTTCAGTGAAATGAGCTGAAAACTGGTTTCTGACAGGCAGTCATGAGAGGCTTCAGTCCTTCAGTGTTACTCCTACCTCACTCTGAATTCTCATCAAGTCTGTTTCTCAACATTTCAAATAGATAAAATAAAGTAAAAGACCAAAGTGACAAATTTTAACATGGAGGGAAACAGACAGACATAAGACATCATTATCAGGAGAGAGATGCGACAGCTGTGAGGATGTCAGGGGGTGTTGCATGTCTGTGGGTGGGTGTGTGTTTGTGTGCAGGGTTACAGTGGGGCTGTGGGCAGCATTGTGAAAAGGACGATTGGTGTTAAATTGGGGTGAAAAGCGGCTTAGGTAGAGATAGAGGGACTGCATGAGAGAGAGAGAAAGCAAGGGAGAGATGGTCACCCTTCACTCCACACATGGATTAGAGGCTATAGAGACACTGACAGGCTCAAAACCTGGCTTACACTGTTAAAACCCTGCAGGCAGACACACACACACACTCACATACACGTGCAGACCTGCACTTGGTATGTGTCAGTGTACCAGCTACAATAACTCAGCAGTGGGACACACTGCCTCTCTGTTTGGCTGTCAACACTCACCAGTTTTGCTCAGATTTATCAGCCGGATTTTAGGGCATTGACAGTCTGGGCCTACTGTGAGCCTATTCAGATGGGCCTCATTCTTTGCAGCAGAATTTTACAGGGAACTTTCCCCCTTTTATTGTTCACTGCAGCTGTGTATGCATACATGCATACACACACTGTTGTCATTCTTCTGAATAATAAAGCAGTTGGTAACCAAACAAACAGGTGTTTTGATTTAGGACTCTGCTGCACTGTCGACTGATCCAGAAACTTACTGACAGGCCCAGCTAAACTTATTTCTGGTGAGCATCTTTAAAACTGTAGCACAAAGTCCCTGAAAGTGTGCTGAAATGACCCTGTGGGTGAGCTATATAGGTGAAGAGAACAGGAAGCTCAGGTCATTATCCAGGTAAAAGCCTCTGAACACTGCCTGATGTTTTCCAGGTTCATGTCTGAAAACAGCTCACAGGACGTTAGTGTTTGCCAGGTCACCAGTCTGAGGAGTGGATCTGTCTCAATCAGAAACATTAACTTCATTGCACCTCCACTGTGCCATGCAGTGGTTCCTGAAGCCAATCTTATGATTCATTTCAGAGTGAGAGGATTTTGAGTCATGTCTTACTTTTTCCAAACAAGAAGGGAGGAGGGAGTGAGGTAAGGACACATGACTTCAGTTTAATTAACACTGCCATTGTTTGAATAAAGGAGAAAAATCTACGTTGTATTACAGGATAATGTGTCTGTGATGTTTATCTCCTTAGCTAACCCCGGGTCCTTTGTAATGAAATTGTTATTGATGGTGATTAATAGGATGGATTTCAGAAGCAGCTGGTCAGACAGATTGTGTGAATAGCTCAGTAAAGCCCTCTTTGTATACATGAACTTCATCCTAGTTGAGAAATCCTTTGTCTGGACTTCTTGTTTTCCATGATTATTTAATAAAATAAATGTATTTTGTTTTCTTAATGTCATGACTCAAATGAACCCTCCTTGTACAGAGTACAGACTTTGTTTCTCTTGCTTCATTTGGAGCTCTTGTTAAAAATTCTCAGCCAGGCTCGGTTTCATGAGACACAGACAATGGCTATATTATTGATGATGGCTTCATCTTCATACCACACTCAAAGACCTCCAGCTGAGTGACATGATGTTGTAAGACGTCTGCTTGTCGTGCAATGGACGAGGAAGGATGAGGAAGACAAGAGTTTTGTAGCAAGGATATATTATAACAATGGCGAGCTCTTTTTGTATTATCTTTAAAACAGCTGAACGCAGTTTTCATTTTCCGTTGCGTTGGCAGCCACTATGGACAAAAGCGGTTGTGTTTTGCTGGAATGATGACTGCATTTCCCACATTTATTGTCTTGAAAACACTTACAAGGTCTTGATCTGGCGTGTAGTTGTTTTGGAGGTGAATGACACAAGATGGGACTGACCGGTACTTTGAATTATTATTATTTTTTTTTGGCAATCTGCAGGATGCGTAATGATGAGGTAATGTATAAATTTGCATGTCTATGAAATATAATATGCCTTTGGTGCAACAGAGTAATGTGGTAATATTGTGAATTGTATTTTTTTAGCCTACAGGTATGTCCCGTTCATAATAGTAAACCTACAACAAAGAGATTAGATAACTCGGCTGTAGATTAGTACATAAAGCTTAAGTTGTCAGCGTACCTTGGTAATGTTAAATCTTCAAAACAATTAACTAGCAGTGTAAAAAAGCACAGCTTACATTACCTGTCTAGGAGGAATATGGAAAATTCACGATCTGACTTAAATCCCGTCAAGCCCTGCAACTCTCTTCACCTCGCGAAGGAATTACCAATGTTGCTTTTTATTTTTCTTCTGTTCTAGTTCGTTTTTCTTTTTGTGGACTTCGTCTCATCATCAACCATGTGTAGCAATTTGTTTTTGCTCTGTTGTCACTGGCCAGCTTACCAACAACTCACTGCTTTTCTCGTGTCCCTGTCTAAGTGCTGTAACCTCCGGCCTGCATGCCGTAAATCGTTCTGTCAGTGGGCGACCCGACCGATGAATTTTGAAAGTGGGAGTTACACTATTCAGAAATACCTTATCTTCCCTCTGATGGGCTCATTTGCTGTTGTAGGTGACACAGATATATCAGGAGACGCGAGATACTTATTAAAAGTTCTTAAAAGTTCCCTACAGAAACTTTAATCTGACCCTGAGGTCATTGATCATGTATTTGTTTGATTTCATGTGTGTCTCTGACCTTTACTCTCATTGTCAGTCCGCTCAGTTTCTATTCGACCCCTCAAAGATGCTGAGACTAAGACTAAGCCATACTTTCCCATTAGCATCAGTGTTAAATGTTGATAGTGTCCCTGCCTGTTCTCTTTAACACGTTTCCTGCTGTTGGCTGTCTCTGCTCTGAACAAACTTTAGCTGATTTTTTTTTGCTCTGTAAAATTTAACGGTGTATGATTTGCTGTAATTATTTGCCTTTTAGACTTGTTTTTCTTGTCCAACAGAGTTGAAATGAGACAACACTCTAAGAAACTCTACCCTCTCATTGCACCTCTATATTTACTCAGGAATGATAATTGGTTCTTCAAAAAACACAATCTCCTCTCTTAGAAATATTTAGGTCACCCTTTCAAAGTAGTCCTGTTACCACAGCAGTCTTAAAGAGGCTTTTACCCCACCACTCTATAACACGCTGCTCTGCTTTTTACTCTTTTTTTTCTGGTTCTTCAGAGCTGCCTGCTTACAGGACTGCCCCACCACATAGTAACCTTGTCTCTCTGATGCAAAGAATCATAATAATGTCTTATTAGTGAATTACTGTACCGAGGTAACTAATCACTGCCAGGCGAGGCCAGCCAGCTAAGAACTCCCTGGCAACAGAAAGCCAAAATAGCTCCATGAGCTTCTCAAGCATAAACTATACAGCGGCGTCCACATCAGCCGGAGTTCCCTTTAAGACTGTACTGATTTGAATCAACACAGACAAAGAGTTCTGAGCTAACAATAGATGTACTTGTTTACTTGTTCAACTCTAACAATGTTTTAGGCTCAAACGTCTCAGTTCTAGCGATGAATGAAAAACTGAGATCAGTTGAGTGTAGTTTTGAGCAGATGAAGGCCCAGTCAGGAAAACCTCAGCAGAGTAGATATTAAGACTGCGCCCTCTGACATTTTAATGGAGTGCACAGGGAGAAATAATTTGGTTGAACCATATTGTTGTTCATTATTGAGGCCTTCTCTGTGAAACACACACACACAATGACCTGCAGGTGTGTGTTCAAGCGTCCTTTGTGGAGGTGTGTGTGTCTGTGAGACATGATGGATAGATGTCATTGGCAGGTCTCTTTCTCATCCTCAGTCTGTGTTTACTGTGTTCGTGTGTATGTGTGTGTGCGTGCGTGTGTGTGTGTGGCTGTGGTGATAAATAGGTGTGAGTGCAGAGGTCTTAGTGTATTTGTACAGACTCCATTAAACACCTGTTCACTGGCCTAATGTGAATGGCCCTGTGTCCTCAGACTGCTGCTGGCAGACAGCTTGTGCTCCACAACCACACAGAGAAAAGGAGCTGTTTGCGAAGAAAAAGTTCCCTTTAATGCAGAATCAGAGACTTGCTGTAGTTTCGGTTTGGTCTTCAGCACATTAATGTGAAATTACATGATAAATGGATTTTTATTATTTAATTAAACAGACTGGAATCATTAACTGTTATTAGAGTGCATTCATATTATATGTCAGCTGCCCAGCTGCTTCTTCTCTTAGCTCAAACTAGGCCTGTACAGTACATCAGTTATCAGTCTATTATTTATTATTATGACGATGCCATGTCATTCAGTTAAAAAAAAACTGAGAATAACTTTGCTCTTTTACATAATAACAAGCCTTAACACTCCAACGATAAGAAGGAGGTGGTGCACTGCACAGATAACCACAGACAAGGAGAACCACACCACAGCACAGTGATTGTGTCTTTGTTTCAGAGAAGGCAAGAAGGAGAAAGCCTGCAAAGTTTAGCACAACCAAAGTAAAGTCATCAGCGAGTAATATTGGTCCATCTTATGGTCTCGCTAGTAGGACAGCTCTGTACCTTTAAAAAAATAAAAATAATTGCTTTTTTTTTACTTTTGTTTTGTTGAGATTTTGTTTCATTCCTGGTTTCTTTCTACAAATGTATGCTTCTTAACTTCCAAGTCGAAGCCCAGAGTGTGAGCTGTGGAGCATGTGCAGATTTTATTCGCCAGTTTTAGTCCAACTGAGGTGTATTCGTCTGTCATCACCTCCGGTATCAGGGTACATTAACTAGCATCTTTATATGTCTTTGACAGCCAGGCTAATGCAATACATGACTTTTGTAGTGTTGTGTAAACATGTTGAATGTTTAAATCAGTAGAGGTGAGACGCTGTGAACATGGCTTGACCCAAGTGTGGGAAGAACTTCCTGCTTTACAAAAGTAAAAAAGAAAAAAAAAAAAGGCGTAGAATGCAAGCTTTGCAACAGCGATTCAAACAGCCTGAAAGCACCACGGGGATGATAAAACGCAACACCCTGAAACACAAAAATGTTGGAGTCATTGATGAGGATTAAAGGGAGCTCACCGGCTGGGTAAGTTGCTATAATATCCCACATGTTTTCCATTTCCAAGTGAGGAAACAAAACGTTAGTCTCTCCGGTAGCTCGCCTGATGCTGCTGTTTACTTATCTGCTAGTTAATGCCAATGATAGAGTAGGTGTGAGTGTGTGTGTGTGCTACTTTATATTGCAGTTTAATTATATTTTGCATGTGTTGTATAAATAAATCTAACCTGCACACTAAAATGGTAATAATTTAACGATTAAGCTTCAAATTTTTGTATTCATGTGGACACTACACTGTATGAGAATGCTGAGTGAGGTAGGATGAACTGCATTTAGACAGGAATTAAAGTGTGAATACTCACGAAAACAATATATGTGTGTGTTGTGTTTTTTAGCTTATTGGGCCACTTGCTCGCCTTAACCTAATACTGCAAAGAAAACATAAAATTTATCGAGTTTTTGTAAATAATACTATAATACACACTTATACTATACTGTCTATGTAATTCCAGAAAAGAAGAGCAAACAATGTCAGGCTTCATGTTAGGAAAGACATCATGCACACCAAGGCAAGCAGCTGTCTTGACTGACAGCTATTTTACAAATACATATATTAATATTCTTATTCCTATTCTTATTATCCTTCTTATTCTTCTTATTATTATTATTATTAAACATTATTATAATAGAACATTCGAGCAGCAACCTGTTTTTGTGCACTTATTTGCTCTGTCAGTTCAAATGTTCCTTTTTGAAATAAAGAGGTGGAAATTAAAAATATTTTTGTATCCGATATAGAAACAGTCCATTAAATCCATTTACATAGAATGATAAACTCTCATTACATGTTTGTTGTCATTATTGTTTTAACATAAGTTTGATTCTTATAGATCCCACCACACTGATAGACAGCAGTACCATCAATCATCATGACTGTAAGTGCCTGCACCCATCTAACCACCGGCCTGTGGTACCCCCATACACTGTCAAGTACTTTGCTAATGGCCCTAAACAATGACTGCCAGGCTCCAGGTCACCTTAGAAACTTTAGTGTAACCCATCAGAGCTCAAGAGTATAGGTGGCTGTCATAACTAGATGCAGCAGTTAGTAAGCACCTACTTCAGCTGTCTGTCATTGTTAAATGTAAAGGTAGGGTTTTCAGGAGCCCATATGGTGTCAGCTGAGTCGGTTGTCATAAGGGTAATAACATTTGCATCCACGACTCTTTCATGGCTGTCAGTGTGATCGAATTAGCATGACTGAAGCACTTAGCATTAACATCAGTATGGGTGATGGCTCACTACGCTAACTGCAGTACTTTACATTTATGGATGAGGTAATGATCACTCAGTGTCCATTATTTCTCTCCCGCTCTTGTACAGATTTCTCCTCGGGTCTCATGTCTCTCAATCTTCCTGTCTCCTCCCCCTCCTCTGCTGTCCATCTCATGGGCTTTTATCTGCTCTAAAACCTCTCATTGGCCTTCCTCTGAACATGTAAAAGATGTTTGATTAAGCCAGTCTTGCTCTGCTATTATCTTGTGATTACAAACACAGCTGCTGTCACTCACACTCACAAAAGCATGAACACATTATGATGACAGTGGAGTCCTAATAAGGTGTCTGCAGGCTTGTAGCTAGTTACAATGGAACCAGACTAATGAAATACACGTTTAGACAAGGTCATATGCACACTTGCACTAAGCCACCACACACACACATGCACACACACATGCAAGCACACAGCCAGACATACACTTGCTCAAAGAGTGGGTTTATGTGTGTGTTTGTGTGTGGTTCTTTCATGCGCAACTTTATAGGTGTGGGCAAAGTAAATTTGGCAAGCTACAGTTAACAAACATGACAGATTCCGCCTCTGTGTCGGACCTGCAGCCTCTCAGTTTGTAGCCTCATTATCTATGCAGCGATCTGAATCTGTGGGAATGCTGTGATGAAGTGGTGCTGTGCTGATTGGATGCTTGAACATTGTTATAAGGAGAATGGTGAGGGCCAATGCAGACGGATGAAGAGGCAGAATACACCGAAAGAGACCCAGCAAGCACATCAGAGAAAACTGAGTCAGTGCAAAACAAGATCTGATTCAAAACCAAACAGGAAATGGCAGCTGCTTAGGTTTTATAGCCTGAGTCACAGCAGCAGGTCTGTAAGTGGTTGGTTAACGTCTGAGTGCAGTGTTGCCAACTCCTCAGTAATGAAAGTGGCTGTCCTGGAAGCCACTAGAAGTCGCTAGATGATGGTATCACCTAATTCAAATCGGATGTACACAAGCTACTCATTGAGAAGAATAACATTGATACCTGTTTCACGTTAGTCTCCAAACTCCAGCAAAAGTCACAAGATTCGTCATTAGGCATTTAAAAAAAAAAAAGGTTGTTAGGGGGTCTGAAAAGTCGCAATCTAACGACAAAGCTGTACAGTACATTGAGTGTTGTTCCTATACCTCCCTGCCTCACATGCTTAAATGTAAGTGGTTTGCAACAGTTGTGGAAGCAGTTCAAGTTTTAGTAGCAAAAAAAAAAAAAAAAAGGATATATTGAGTGTACAGGGACGCCCTCACAGGTGAGTTAATGCTAAACAGCAGGGGTCCTTCATGCCTGTTTAGCTTGTTTTCATCAAACACGGCTGAGTCTGACCACACTGTGAGGATATGTTGCCTTTGCACCAGATAACCAGACCCCCTCACTCACTCCTCAGCAGGCTCGCTCTTTTTAACTCCTGTTCCCATAGAAACAACAAGCTGTAATCTTAAAGCTCAGTTATCTGTGGACCATCAGGATCAGTTTGTCCTACATTTTTCAGATGAATAAGCCTCCACCAGTCTGTCGTTGACACACGTCACTGAGGAATCTTCATGCTGATTGGCTATGGCAGCAAAAGTGATTTGAGTTTGGATTTTTCAACTGAAAGAGGCAGTCTGAGCATTAAATAGTATCATAATTCACTCAAGTTGTAACATTTCTGTCATTTGTGCCTAACCTCAGCCTATATTGACATGTTTAACAATGTCTTCTTTGTAAATAGGCTATAAAAACAGAAACTTTTTCAAAGTGTTCATGATGCTGCGAGTGAGTTGGTGAATCTATTTCTTCCCCAAGCATTTTTAACCTTCAGTGGAGAAAAATCGGTGTTGAGTGTGTCACATTTAGGCTCTGCCCAAGGTTGTCAAACTTCATTAAATAAACGTTCGAGGTAGACAGTGAAGTAGCTTATTCTGGGTGAATGTGGGCCCAGATGAGGATCCAGAACAATCACAAGATATTGAACTTTAGAGAAGTAGTGGTTTAAAGAGAACAAAAAGGACGAGTTCAGGTTGTTAATAATGAACCAGGTGAGTGTCTGAATTTATTTAGTTTCTTCTTATTTGCAGAAAAGATTTCATGTCCGATCACAAACCTGGAGGCAGATTGGAGGGAGTCCTTCAGTCTGAGACGATTAAATCTTCGAGGCAGAATCTTTATATATTTGACATGAAAAGACCTCTTCTCCATAACCAACATGTAAAGGATCCAGATCCGTCCCTGTTTGTCCACTCCCTCCATATTAAAGAGGTTCATGAGCCAGAGTATGGAGATAAGCTGGGTTCTGGACTGTGAATCCATGGATACTCTTACCATATTTACTTCACTCACTATATCATGGTGTTTGCTTTTCACGTCACTGGAATTTTATTTTATTGTTTTCTTCCACTGAAGTGCTGAATTTTATAGATAAATCCTCATCCTCACAGACATCCAAATCAGTCATCAACAGGTGTATAAAAATACATCCAAACTCATGATGATTTTCAAAGCCCTGCCTTTGTTATTCAAAGCCTTTAATGTGGAAGAGGAAACCTGCTTTTTCAACAGAGGGCTGCTGAAAATACCATCAGGAAAGCAAACTGTGTTTGTGTTTGCAGACTAAGTTGAGCCGCGTTGATTAACTACGCTTGTTCAAGCCGACAACGCCTGTGTGGGAAGTTACAGCCAAAGTTTTTAGTCAGAGCTGCTGCCTTTGAGCGGAGGTTTTTCTGTTGTCAGCCTCTATGTTTGTGTCACATCAAAGTCATCATTAGCAGAGTATATTGAGGCACACAGGTATATGTGTCGGCCCACATGCAAATGCACAAAGTAACCTGACTGTCATAATTAGCTAAGCAAAGACACACAAACACACACACACACACACACACACACACACACACACACATGCATGGTGTGTCTTTGAGGGTACGACAGATGGTCCTAATTATACTCCCGAGGAGGAGCTGAAAATCACTGAGAGGTAGTGTCCTCTTTAACTCCATGTCTGTCTTTTTGACTGCCACTTCCCTTCTCCCTGTCTGTCTGGGTCTGTGCCATCTCTCCATCTGCTGTTTCCAGCTAACTGTCCTCACTGCTTATTGTCCATCAAGCAGAACCACTCACAGTCTTAGTTTAACTCCTGAGCAGAAAAATCCTGAGTATACAGATAAATGCAGAGTGATAAAAGGTCAGAGACTCACAGGGTTTGGTAGGTTTCCATCATGTCTGCTAACACTCAAAGACAGCTCTGGATTTATCATCCTAAACTGATCAAGTTGATGTCATTAACCATCCAGCACTAAGGCTAGAAAAACAACTTCCTGTTCCAGCTGACAGTATTTAAGAGAGGGCTGATATGGATTTATCACGTGTCCTCAGAAGTATTACAGCAAATGGGTTTGTTGATGTGATGTTGAAGTGCGCTTGAAGGCTGAAGACACATTTCAGTTTATTGACTTGCAGTGAGCTGAGCAAAGAGGCTCAGTACATAAAACAAGCTTGACAGAAATGGTACATGGACTGTATATTTCTCCGTCTGACCACTCAGACTGCTTTATATCACATTTATCCATTCACACCACATTTACACTCCAATGGTAGAGGCCTCTGTGTGAAGAACCCGGCAGTATTAACTATTCACACACCACTGGCACAGACCTGTCAGTAGGCATGTTTAGATTTGCTAAATTTCTTAATCTGATTATCTAATTAAGAATACTGATTAAATTTGAAAGATCTGAAAATCTGAATCCTCTGTTTATATGGGTGCAAAATCAAATAATCTGATCACGACGTGTATATACATGCACCAAGCTTTATTCAGGTTAGAAGCGTTTGGACATGGGCAGAGTTGTCCGACTTTGCTAAAACAACCGTAGAAGAAGAGTTGTACTTAGGTCTGTGCTGTCAACAAACCCGAGGTAGCTCACTTCATCCAATTCAGGATTTTTGCCCCTGTTAAATGTTGTTTTACTGTTCTGGCAAAGGTTGCACTGCAGATGTGACATCATGTATCACAGTATGTACGCTTTGTTATGTTATCAGAGAAGCACACACAGCACCTGTGGTTGTGTATTATGCCAGAGTGTTAATAATGAAACCTCCTGTACTGACCTCAAGAAACAAGCCAAAGGCTAAAGTGGGTGAGGACCCAGTCAGGTTAGAGAGTCACGATCGGAGTAGGTGTTTACATGGACGAAGTTCGGATTAACGATCGGCATAAACCACCTCTCTTGATCGGAATACAATTTCTTTCAGATTGAGCCGAATTGGATCAGAATCTTCTGATCGATTTGTTTACATGACGCTTTTTTATTCCAATCGGACCTTTTCAGATTATTTCTGCCCATGTAAATAAACAGCTGCACCATGAGAGCTCCTGTCACTGTGTAAAACTTGTCCTCTGTCTCCAAAGTGACAGTCCAGGCTTCAGGTGCGCCATGAGTTAACAAGCCATGTCCTGATGGACTGTGATCTTCAGACATGAGGGGTCAGTGCACTGGGAGGAGTATCATCTCAGAGCACAGGATCCCTAAAAATGTCTGTTATTTGACTCAAAGATCTGTGCCGCTGTCTAACATCAGTGTTTTACTGTCCAATCTCTATGGTAACTCATTGAAGAGGATTATAGATTTCACATCAGCACATGAATAGATTCAGAGGTATTCAATCATTCTCTCACTCTCCTGTATGGCTCCTCTGTTATTCTGTTATGTTGTTGTTGTTATTCTCTTGTGTTGAGCTGCACATGCTCATTGTCAGTCAGTAATAACTGTCATGTAAGACTTTCCTGAACATCATACGGTGTATACAGTGTTTACTCCTCTCCTGTTTGTATCCTCTCTTCGTTTACGATGATGAAATCAGTCTTACTCTACATATCACAGATTTCTTTGTTGTCTCCAGGAGGTGTAGTTCATCACAGTAAGGCAGACAGTATTTAAAGGAAAATAGTAAGACTGAGTGTAATTCTTAAACAAATGACAGAGGTCTAATCCTCTGTGCAGTTTTTCATCATTTCCATTTTTTTCTTTCAAGCATTAGGAAACACAATTTACTCATTTTATAGGTTTTATTGCTCACTAAATTCAAAGCCATTTTCTCTGTTCAAATATAAATTAAAGGGGCATAATCTGGAAAACACTCCCCAGTGAAATAATGAACAATTTGTAACTACAAATGAGCAGAGGAGAGAAATGCCTCTCACTGAGAAATGCAACTCACTGCAAGCATTAAAAAGGACTTACTCAGTGCAGTACCATCTGAAATATGAACCAAACACCTCGGTGTGCAGTGAGGATAAAACCGTCTGGTGATAACAGGCCAGACAGGAGAACGTTTTTGGATGGATATTAGTCTATGAGCCAGCATCAGCTGTTCAAGGACCTACAATGGAAAGTGAAAGCCACGGTTCTCCACAGCAAGAGCTGATGAAACACATCAGGACTGAAAAACACCTGTTAGAACAAAGTCTCCTCCGACATGATGAGATCGACACTGGCTGGTTCCTGGTTTGACTACCACAAGGATTCAAAGTCAGGCTTTAACAGAGTCAGATTAAAATGATATTAAATACAATAACCTTACACTATGACAAACTTAAACCATGATCCATGCAGGAGGAGATGTAAAGCAGTTAGCTCACTAATGACCGTCAAGTTTGTCAAGATTAACCAGCAAAAGCAAAACCTTACCAAGGCTACAACAGGTTATTATTCAGGGTGGGGTAGAGAATATGTTGAACATCCTTTAAAGGGAAAAACAGACAGATTAGGAGTCATACTTCTGTTTTTCAGCAGAATTAAACAGTCTTTTGCTGATCTGCAATGATGAACACAGTTCATACGTTAATCTGTTGTTTTCTCAATGAATCACGATCATACCTGTATGCTCTCATCCACACCTGTGGTTATATTTGAACGAACCACCAATCTTTAACATTTACAGAGCAGCAGTATGATAGAGGACCAAACTTTTTGGGCTCTATTTTCGTACCTCGCCGGTGACGTGCCGCAAGTGCAGCGTCAGTCAGATCCGCCGCGCTGACAAGGCATTCCCAAGCACAATTTGGTATTTTGGTGAGCCGCGCAGCCCAGCGTAAGTATCCCTAACTCAGCTCCTCCCAGCAGCATAAGTCGTAGACGGGGAGGAGAGAGGGCGTGGAGTGGGTTTAACACAGCCGAGACCTGTTTTCACCAATCACATAAGCTCCTCTCCTTGCCTTTAAATCCGCCACAGGCGAGGTGTATTACTATTTTCATGAAGTAGTCAAAGAGATCAAGAGATGTCTTAAGACAGTAATGCCACAAGATGGCGACAGAGGGCAGCTCCTCAACAAGTGTCCTCCACACTCTCTCATATGAGCACAGATGGATTTGGTGTGTTTAATGTTGGACCCACTGGTAAGACAAACACCCTTTTCCACAAATAAAGACACTCACATAAAGTTGCTCATATTCAAACCTCACGTGACAAAGGTGGGTTGAGCGCACAGATCACAACATAAACTCCAAAAATGGCATTAAAATCGGAACCATATGTGCGTAAATGACGCATCGCGCTCCGTGGCCTGGCTCTTTCTTTCATAGATGTTGGCATATAAAATAAATTTGGCTCACAAAACTGAATATTATAATATCCGTATGTCGGCTTAAAGTAGATAACGCATCTGAGCACTGAAACAAATCATCTGTTCAGCCGCAGCAGCAGCAAGACGGACAGAGGACACGGAGACATGTCCAGGTCGAGCTGTGCGAGAAATAAGAGGAAGAGGAAGAAAGAAAAGGAGGGAGACAAATTACATATCTTGTTAACTTCATCATGTGTGAATATTTACTAGATATTTAATTTAATTTGATGCGGTTTCAGCTGTGTTGATTCGGTCAGGTTGTGTGTCCAAACGCGTGCCAAACGCGCTCATCAGATCAGATATAGATCAGAATATATCTATATAGATCTAAATGTATGTGCTGACTCAGATTATTAGTTGTTGATGATTATTTATTGCACTGAAATGTGCCTGACACTGTGGAAACCTGCCGGTGAGGCATCAGTGACTTATGTCAATACGCCGCCGGTCTACCAAAATACTACTGGACCAGCTGCGTTCTGCCATGCGCTGAAAGCTGACCAGGTTTGAATCGGCGAGCTTTCAGCGCACTTTACACGCCGGTGGCGAGCATGAAAATGTCACTGCGCCTGCTGATTCTGTCGACACCTCCCCCTGCCACGCCACCACGCCCAGCTTGGCGGATCTCGGCTCGCCTCCGTGCGGCTAAGTCCACGAAAATACCAAACTGGCCTTACGCCGGGCTCCGCCAGACGAAAATACAACTGCGCGGGGCTCGCCGCCCTCCGCCGCCTCACCGGCGCGCACGAAAATAGAGCCCTTTGGCTTATTTTGATCTGTGTTCCTGCTGGTATTTTTCACGATTTTTTTCTTCAACTATTTTATAAAGCACTATTTTTCTGCAGGTCACACACACACATACACACACACACACACACACACACACACACACACACACAGCACTTTTGAAGAAGACCCTGTGAGAATATAAGGATGCACATAATTACTAGAAATTGAAATGCCAGAATTCATGAAGCAGGGCGACTGAGAAATGGGATTTGCTGGTTGGGGAGGTCACCTAGGGGCGAGGAGGGACAGGCAGTCAGGCCAACATGAATGAAGAGATGATCTGGCTTTCCCTCGCTCCCACTCTCAACCTTTTCAGATTTCATGCTGCACTTTTCTCTGGTCACCAAGCTGAAGTAATTAATTTTGCACTCCTCGAGGCTTTGAATGCATAAACAAGAGTTATCAAGAGCTCAGAAATGCTCAAGTCCTTATACCTGAACCCTTGTGGCTGTGATGATTTCTGCAGAGGCGAAAAGTCACTAATTTTCTGAGGTGTTGCTCTTTCCTTTGTTCTGACATGGTAGCTACAGGCTGTTGCCTTTGCGTCTGCAGTTTGTGGAGACCGGAGCACTAGACATGAATTACAATTCCTCACTTATTTAAATGTTAGTGCTCACTCAGTTAGCGTCAACTCTTTTAGCTTCGGTAATTTGGAATTGTTTTTTGTAGCCGAGCATGGTTCCTCTGAGCTGTTGTAACTTCGGCTGACTTTTCCTATATTAACCAGCTGGTTTTAGCCTTGGCTAATTGAATGAGTGACCTTGGGTCATGGGCTTGCTTTAACTTTATTAAAGTTTTAGCCCAAGGGTTTCCATTACCAAAGCATTCAAGAGTGCAGCATAATGGGTTATAACTGTAACTCCACTGTGGATGCATGCCTGCTTACCCTTGAGTTTTCAAGGGGGAAAAGAGACTCTTGGTTAAACATGTAGAGAGAGTGGGGCCCTGTTTTTATTTTCAGTCATGCACAATTCTTTATAGGCTCACGCAAGTCCAGCTGCTCTGTAATTATGACCTGGATAAATGTGGACTGAAACAAACTTTTTAAAAAAAAATTATTATAACAGTCTTTATTGAACTTTTTGGTTCTGTTTGTATTCTTATTTTTATTATTTTTATTTATTTTTCAATTTTTAATTTGATTTATTTCCATTGAAATTTTTATTACCCATGAGAATAAAGTAGTGATAAAATCATTACTTAGAAGAATGAAGTCTTAAAGTAAATAAAGTCATAAAGCTGCTTTTGTGGAGGAGGAGGAAATGGCTGGAACTGGTCAACTGCAGGGTCATCGGTGAATGCACCAGCAGGTCTGGGTTTGTCCAGATATCACACAGAGAAGGGAAACCCTTCTAGACAACCCCACCAAAAAGGGGCACTGGTAAAGATAAAACAACATCTGATCCCATGTCCACATCTTAGCACTCTTCAGCCTCTGGACTCTGAACCACCTTCACTGAAACAGGCTGGCTGCAGCATGGGGGCTAGACAGCCAACAGAAATGTCCCAAACACAGCAAAATAGGAGATGAATCAAATGCATGTGACACTGATGTGACACTTGAGGGTCAACAGTGATGATTAAGAATGATGTCTTTAGTTCTGGTCATTTAATAACCCCGCTCTGCCCTTAATTTGATCAAATTAAACAGATTAAACTCCTCGGTTACAGGGCAGCGACAGTGACGAAGCAGAAGTCAGCAACAGAAAAAGAAACAGAGAGAATAAAATGAAGACTCAAGCAGACAATGAAAACAACATCTAAATTCTAACTTGCCCCTGCAGTACTCAGGATAGTCTGTGCATAACAATGAGCAGAGGTGGGGAGTGACTGAGAAATTTTCTGTTGATATTAAACAGGTGAAGGTGTGATCATCCGACTATCACAGCGAGGGACGCTACTCGCTTCCACAGCACCCACTAAGACTGGAACTTTTGCTGGAGTTTTGTCCTGAATTTCTCTGTTATCTTTGAAATGAACAGAAATGGAGACTTTGCTGAAAGACTGCATAAAGTGGATGTTAACAGATGCCTCATTGTCTGGATCAAAGACTTTTTGTTCAATTTAGCACAGAGGGCCTGTTTGAGTGGATCGTATGTCAGAACAGAGGCTTGTTAGCCGCGGGAGGCTCCACAGGGATGTCTGTTATCTCATTTTAGTTTCCCTGTAGCTTCATGAACTCTGATTCCAGTCTCTGCACAGTCTTTTCAAACATCCCCATAACTCCACTTCACAAGGCCGTTTACTGAAAGGATTATGCTTAGGATGGAAATGAACCAAGTGTACTAAGAGAGAACTAATGAGGTGTTATCTGCTCGAGCTGACCATCATCTGAAACTTCACAGCAGGGTTTGGAAGTGATCTTTTGTTGTGGTTTGCTAATTCATTTCAGAAGTTAAAGGCCATCTTTATGAAGCTGTAATCATTTTTTGTACAATCTTTTTCAGATTTAGATTTATCTCTGTGGCTCAGTGCCTGTTCATTTATGTCTACTGCATGCCTTGAACATTACCATTGTGACTTGTTTTTATGTTTTGACCAACTTGTCAGTTGTTACATTTGGGTCATAGGGCTGCATGATTAATAGGTTTTCAATTGTAATAGGATTATTTGATTAAAAAAATTAAAATCGTCAAATCAATTTTCCTCTCTATCATGTCTCACACCTCCAGGCCACTGTAGGCTCCCACTTCCTGTGGGAGCGCTCCCTAGTTCCAACAGACCAGTGTAAACAAACATGTAAACAAACATGTTTGCAAAAGAAGGTGATAATCTAGTGGCTAAATACAGCAAGAGCAAGTCAGTCGTGTGGACTTGTTATGGCTTTACAGTTGCAGACAAAGTGCAAACCACTCCCCACTGCAAAGTCTGTTTGAAGGCGGTATCAACCCGTCAGAAGTAGATGTGCAAGTTTTTTGTGGTATTGGTCTTTCATCTACATGGAAACAGCATTTTGGGTGACTGTAAGTGGGACTTTTTGAAAACGAGTCAGAGAGTGCATAAATCTATAAACAACTAACATTTCATCTCCGTGTGGATGCCTATCTGCAGCTCTTAAAACGATTGTGTGACACACAGCGTTACTCTTTTATGGTGGCTGCATGTGTCCGGCCAAAACCACCTTTATACACATGCTCTGTACTCCTTTTTTGTCTTTTGTTTAGTTCCTCGTCAGCGTTACAGCGCCACTTACTGGCTTGGCAAATGCACTTCATTTTTTTTCGCTGGTTTTGTTTTGAGAGATGATAGAAAAGCTTAGTAAAGGAAGTTTGGTGAAGTTGTCACTAAAAAAAAAAAAAGAAATCGAAAATCAAGTTTTCTGAGAAAAAAGTTGGGATTTCATTTTTGGCCGAAATCGTGCAGCCCTATTAGATGATGTTGCAAAATTGGTTGATTGATTGATTGACAATGTATTTGTAAAAAAGTTTTGAGTTGCCTTTGCTCATTCTTACATTAATGCTACTGCACACCTGTACTGGCTTTTTGAGGCACAGGGACATTGTCATTTCAGTGACAACATGAGAGACCGTTCATCTGCTGAGTTTTCCAGTGTTAAACCCATCAGCATGCTAACACCTGCTGAAGGGCACATTACATTTTCAGTCCAATGTCACAGCCCACTTTGGGGGGATCATCTGGTGGGCTAAGATCTAAAACACCGAAACTGTGGCTGTTCAATTCACTGGGACAATTTTAATGGACACATATCAATGTTAGGTTGTGCTGATGATGTTACCATGGCATACACTGGCCTCTATTACCAAAAGCACATATTCAATATCATTTTCTTCACTCCTCAAATGAGTTTTACCTCATTCTGTCTCTGTATATCAAAATCACATCCACCAGAGGACCCATCAGTCCTGGTTGCTGTTTCAGTAACAGGGGGTCTGTAGTTGTGGTCTTACAGGGGTGTCCCCTCCTTTAATGTCAAAGGAGGTTTCCTATAAGACAGGTTAAACTGCAGTTGTTTTTTTCTTCTCCCAGTAAAATGTCACATGAATGAAACACATCACTGAGATAGTTCTGTCCATATAAGCTTGTTTTGAACTTGGATCACTGTGATCTGCTTTATAAATGTAACATGCACATTATGGGGGCACACAGAGTCCAGCAGTCCCTGAGCCCCCACACTGAGTACAGAACCATGTCTTTTTCTAATAAAAGGCTGATGTGTTAATACTGTAATGGCTTGTCCTAGCTTTCTGTATCTCCTCTAAAGGCAGTGATGGGCTTCCCCTCCCCTGATAGGACCTTTCAGCCCCTTGACGGCGGACCACGAGACTCCCCTCCCCTCCAGCGAGAAGCACAGACTGAAGCAGGGAAGCAGGTTTCTGTCCAGCTGTCACACACACTTGAAGTGAGCTTCTCACTGCAAAGACATGTACCTGAAGTCTAATTTGCTCCAAGAATATACTTTACAACAAGCAGCAGTGATAGAGATACACAGCAGGGTTTCTGAGGGTGTGTAGAACCAAAATGTCACAACAAATTCATCCCTCTTAATCAATGAAAACTTTCTCAACCGAAATAAATGTTTTATTTTCCAGCATCGGACAAAAAACTCAGACTTGGTTCTCAGCCAAGAGTTGTCAGTTCCCCGCATTAGTATTAACCCTTAACTACCAACGAGCATATGCATATGTTGTGTTGGTCAGACACTCTCACAAATATGTTTTTTTTTTTTTCTTTTTGAAAGACCTGGAACCTGGATTTCCCCAAAGCAAATTTCTTTGTCTGTCCACATGCCTCCATCCACTTAGGGGCAAACCTGTGAAGTTGTAGAACCCGGTGGATTTTTGAACGGCTGAATCAGCATGTTGAATGAAAATGCTCTTAAGTGTATGTTTTACAGATGTGTATTTGTTGGTCCGCTCAAACAGCTCCAGTTTTTTGTGGATGTGATGGATGTCATCCACCCCTTAACAGTGACATTATTTATTTTATTTATTTAATCATGTTTTCATGCTGGACAATCCTGCTATAATTGCTGATGTCTGTGTTATTCAGCCGATGTAAACACATTTGTGATTTGTTTCTAATCACTGAAATCTGTTTTGAGGATGTGAACTATATAGTGATGTCTGTGTCAAAGAGGTTTTTCACTTGAATCTGATTTTTCTTTGCCTAATCTTAAACATGGTTTATTTCCCATGAGCACCTGAACAAAGCTGTTAAGGCAGCCCAAAGACAAGATCAGTAGCCGTATGAAATTAAAAAGTCAAAGGAATTATAAGATCCAGAAATCCACCTAAGTCCCACATGTTGAGTGTCAGTTACTTTGAGGTAATTCGTGTGATGAGGCTCTGATCAGCAGTCATCCTGCTCTACCTCTCAGCCATATCTGACATCTGAGCAGGATATAAACTCAACAAAGATGCTATTTCTCCATGGGATCAGATGATTAAGCACAAAGCAGGATCATAATGAAGCTTTGGTGTAAATCTGGAATTAAACTTGACAGTTATTAATTCAGACCAGGGTAGTTTGCTCCTGGTAGTTTGGTAAACTAATCATCTTTCTCAGATATAAATGAATAAAAGAAACTTTCTCATTTTGAGGATATTTCTATAAAAATTAAGTTGGTGCGTGTGCTTGAGTGGAAATCCAGCAGTGCGTGGTGCAGGTATGAGACATAGCAGCTGTTAGCAGTGACAGCGTCAGTCACTTCTTCTGTGCAGAAGCCTGCAGCGGCAGAGGTCTGTTTGTACCTGCAGCCTTTTCTTTCTGATTTTCACCCTGCGTGTTGTGAGAGACGCTGTGAACTCTTTTAAATGCACAGCGGTGTGAATTTTCCACAGACAGTGATGGACAACTCACAGCTGCTGCTTTGATGCTGCTCAGACATGGTGTTACTCTTAATGTCTTTCCTTATTTCCAGCTGATCCTGTTTTCATTCACTGACTTCTATAGAGTCTTTACGGCAACAAACCTGACAATAACGCAGTTCTGATTTCAACTTTCTTACTTTACACTAAGTAAATGCTCACATCCATGAGCAATCACAGACTACCGGTCCATTTATCAATGCAGTTGTCCATGTTAGCACTTTCATCATCCGTTAATCCATGCATTCCTAAACACTCATCAATCTATCATCCATCAACATTGTCCACCCACCCAGAAAAAAGTCTTACAGATGCTGGATCGGTCATCCATCCATCAGTTACTCAGTCAATTAGTTGCCTATCCATCCAGTTGGCAAGTGCAGAGTCTGGTTGAAGCAGCCAGTGGGGTCAGGTCATGTGAGTAATGAAGAGGAAGAGACAGATTTACAGGAAACCTAAGATTCATGACCCACTCTGACTGACTCTGGCGTTCCTCTTGTCTTTATGTCCCTGCTCGCCAACTCTCTCTCTCCTCTGTTGGTCCTCACTCTTCAAACTCTTGAGTCATGTTTAACAGACTGCAGGTGCAAAAATCACAGCCATGTTAAACATCTAACAGATGAGAGTTTTCACAAGACGTGTTTTTCTCCAAAGGGCTGTTTTCAAAAGACCTGGTTAGAGTAAAAAAACATTAGGACCTGCTTTAGCTCGCAGTTTCCTTGTGTGTGGGTCTGTGAAAACGCAAAGTCCCTTATAAGTTAACTCTGACAAACAGGAGCAGACTGTGACCTCATTGACAAACAGCATGATCTGAACACCCCAGTGTTTTAATCTCTCCGTGTTAGATACAGAAATAAGCACAGGACACCCTGTAGCCACTCTAGAGCTCCATGTTCTAGGGCTGGGCGATAAACCGAAAATTTACAGATACCGAAATTTCTGACAATAACCAACGTCATTTTGCTCATGTCAATATATTTGGTGTCCAAAAAACAAATATAAAAAAGTTGGTTTTGGATGTGTGTAGGTAGGCAATGGTCTCATGTCCCTTTAAGACACTGTCCTATGTCAGAGATGTGACTCCATCCCATTCAGTCCGTAACAAAGAGGGGAAGACAGGTGAGGAGATGGAGGACGGTTCAAAAGTTGTAGCAGCTGGAGCGGTGGCTGAAGTAGACAAAGTTAATGTGGGAGGGGGTGAGCAGCTCGTGGAGTATCATCCATTTATTGTTATCAAGGTGTACTGCTCAATATATGGTGATATTAATTTGATATATCGCCCAGCCCTACCATGTGCTTTATTTCTGTTTAACCACAAAATCCCACAGAAAGCCTGTCACTGTAAACTCCTCTCACTCAAGATCTCTTCCTCCTCCATCCTAGTCACTGCTCATGTTACAACTGTGATTGTAACAGGAGATTTTTGTGTGTTTGTGGATGTGCTGGGTGTCATTTTTTGTTTGTGGCGCTCTCTTCCCAAATAGGTATGCTCAATCTCGACAGCTGATCAGTCTCCCAGGGATATTTCCTTATATCAGCTGGGAGATGCCATCCCCTCCTCTCTAAATTGACCATGAAGCCTTATGTTTACAGTGTTTGTTAGACTTGGTGTGAATTGGCGGTTTATCTCTCAGTATTGTTCTCTTATGTTAGAAAGGTTAGTCTTTGTATTTTGGTTCCTTCTAGTTTGCAGCTCAGTATGTTCCTGTTGTGTCCTGGCCCCCTACACAGATCATGACACTTGCTTTTCCACAGGGAGTCCGATGCCACCCCACACATGCCATGCGCTCCATCCCAGAAGCTTCTCCCTTCTCTGCTGAAAACACGGGAAGTATCTATTTTCAACAGAGCAGCATGTACTGAACTTAACCGCGAAGATCTGAGCAGGATTTAGAAAACAGGAACAGCAGATTCCACCGAGTCAATCGAAAAAATAAAACACCATGTCAGGGTGTCCAATCACATGTCAGAGTGCATTGATGAGAAATCCCTCCTGATGACAGATTGTGAACAACTACAACAAAGCTCCATATGCACGATCAATGTCAACCACAACAGCACTTCTGTTTGTTTGTAGCTCATAAAACAAGTACATCATATTAGTGCAAATCAAACGTTATCCTGTCAACATCAGAACTTCACACTCCTGTGGCACAGCATAGTAACGTGTAACCTGAGGTGACTGCAGAGCCAAACAGGCATAATGTCTCTGTGTGTCTCAGTGAATTTCAGAGCTGAAAACATCAAACAGGAAAAGAACAATGATAGCGTCTCTGAAAATGAAAGGGGGCCCTTGTGCTCAGTGAGGGCTCTTGTGGTCCCATGTGTTCAGTATTGCAGGTGGGTGACAACAGAGGAGTGGGGAGTACAGTAGCAGCACTGGCTGCTGAAAAAGGCCCTTGACTGGGGCAGGTGCCTTCCCAAGGTACAGTCAAGTGTGTATGTACACTGGCACTACACGGAGAACAAGCCTGGCAATAGTTATACAACTGTAACACTAATACTGACGGCTGCCTCTGCTGCAGTTACTGATGTAAGTAAAGCAGCTGTCCTGGAAAAAAAAAAAAAACACTTCCCCTCCAGTTTTTATCAGCCGGAATATTGATCTTCAATAGTTGTGCACATCGTACAGCATCTCACACATATAAACAGCTTCTCCATCCATGGACAAACCTTTTGGACCTGCTGAAATCTCTGACTCCTCTGACTCCAAATTCATATGATGCTTCTGACTCCCCTGCAGCAGTAGAAAACCGTCCTCAAAATCTATCTGACATTTGTGCCGCAATAATAAATCTGAAGATCCTCATTTCACATGTTGTCTGTGGTTCACCGCAGGTTTGCTGTGTGAGTGGTAGTTTAGAGATAAATAATCTCACTTCCTAGTCAGTCACTTATGTCCAGAAAAAAGATCGCCTTTTTTTCTGCTGCACAGTTTCTACATTCAGCTCATAACTCAGTTAACGGAAACTAGAGGGTCAGGAACCGCAATGATGATTCCTCACCTTTTAATAGAGATCATATTGCGGTACACAAACTGGTTGAAGAAAAACTCTGCCCTATATTACTGCTGTGGTCACATACCTCCATTGTATTGGTTGGGTCATGGTCTCTCAGTTATTGATGGTGTACTCTCTTCCTGACTGCACAAACTTCCATCCACGAAAGGAAAAATCCTTACTGATGTATCGCAGGGTCAATTTATAACAGATGTGACACATGTGTCACAGTTTTCAACCATTTTCATTCTCAAGTGATCTAGCGAAAGGCAACAAAAAACCAGACCCCATCCTCCATAATGGCTGTATTTGGGGGATGGGGCCCAGACTGATCGCACCCCTGATACTCCGACATGATTTTCACTTTAGCACCCACCAGTGTTAGTGAAAGAGGGTTTTCGTCTTAGCAGACAGAGATGTTTTGGTCAATGCACAAAGACTCTGTTAAATGTTTCGAAATATCAGTATTTTCTGGACAGTGCAGTTTGTTGTGTAAGGATTTTCCTGCAGTCCCAAATGCCATGATATGACTTAGTGAATCAGGTCCTTGTTTTGTACTTAAGTTAACCTTAGACTGAGAGACTTTGAGATTAAGTCCTACCTCTAATACAAGCCAGCTTCATTTGAAGGTCTGCTACTTTCTGCAGTAACAGCAAAGAAAGCCTGGGCTTATATTAAGGATTTACAGTTTCAAATCAGAAGTATAACTTCCTGTGCCTACAATACACAAGTGCATCACCATAAAGTGGTTACCAGCTGTCCTGAAGGCTTTCTGAGAGCAGGACTGAAATATGCTTCCAATTTGAAAAGCTTAAAAAAGTCTGATTCACTGAATAAAGAGGGAAATTCATCATCTACTGGGAAATGCTGCAACTGACATATACTGCCTTAACCGAACCAAAGCTCCACTAGCAGATCTATGTTTGACGGTTTTCAGGACAGCACAGATAAGGTATACAGTCCTGTTTACTGGGACACCAATTCAGACAGTGTCAAACTGTGAGGACTTGTCAAGGAGGGTTCACACCAAGCGCGAGTAAAGTCATTAGCGCAAATGAATTACATGTAAAGTCAATGCAAAGACGCGATTGGATGCTTTTTCTACTCTGGTGGCACGAATGACGTGGATGGGTGGTGCAAATGTATGTATGTATCTCAACTTGAGCAAATATTCATGTTGCGATAAATGATCAGCAAGAAGATTCCAAGCTGATGCATGAAAACAGCCTGGTTTTGATGTTCACTGGTGTGGAAAATGGAGGACAAGCTTATCGTATTGGTGTGCAGGTACCTGGAGCTGTTTGACACAACATGCGTTTTTTTAAAAAACGGAATAAAAAAGAGCTGAAGGAGAAGAAAGTGAGTGAGGAGGTCAGATTATCTTGTAAATTGTGAAAAAAAAAATTGATCACTTGATCCCGCCGGTTGAATTGGCAAGGATCACTGTTGAAATTAGCATAAGTGGCTATCCACGGCTTTTTAGAACTCTGTTGACATATGAAACACGCAAATGAACTTAATGATTCTCACCAATAGAGCAAATCAATCGCACAGATGAAGCGAGTAAATACTATTCATTTATGCGTCAAGATTTGTGCGAATTAAGTAAGTTGATGATTTTATTTGCACTTGGTGTGAACACATGGTTAGGATTCACCATATAATAGCAGCAAAGAGTGGAAAAACTGATGTGCAGGTTAAGTCTTCTCCTAAAATGTCTTTTGAGCTGAAAACTTCCACAGACAGGTAATTTTTTTTATTGCATGATGTTCAGTAAAGGTCAAGAATCAGAATCAGAAACGTCCTCCCCCAGTTTCAGAGACATCATAAAACAGATCCGTGCTAAAACAGGACACATCGTAAACAGACGGGGCAGATTTCAGAGGATTGAAAGGGTAAACAAATGCAAATTTGAATTTGGTATAAACATAAATAAATATTGCAAACACTCAAAGAGCTCACTCATGAAAACTGGTTTGGCACAGTTGTTCAGAAGAGTTTGATTTAGAGTCCAAAATAGATTTTTAGACATGCATCCCACCCACAGATGGAGTTTATTTTTACCCAGCTGTGTGAGTGTGTGCCTTTGTCAAAGTATCGCTGGCTGTGTGTGTGTGTGTGTGTGTGTGTGTGTGTGTGTGTGTGTGTGTGTGTGTGTGTGTGTGTGCGCGCATATGACAAGTGGGTGGATGTGTCTTTCTGTTAGATTGCAATGTATTCATATGCATATTCAGTGTCCCCCTCTTCACCGATTCAAACTGCACTTCAGAAACAAGCTGGTAGACTTTCTCCTGACCTGCTGTGTAATCCACTCACTTGTTTCATTATCATCCTGATTTGGGGGGATTTATAAAGTGTTTATGCTGCTATGAAACACCAACAGAAAACTCACTTATCATCAAGCACCAACCTTAGACGGCCTAGAAACTGCATAAGTGCTAATCGTATCACACCAATAGGTACGTGGAAACAGCACACATGCAGATAAAATGCAGATTTGTCAGATGGAAACTGATGGAGAGGGGGAAGATACATTTCATGTTGACTGCCATGTACTCAGGGTTACAAATAAAGGTGTTTTACATGCATGTGTGTCTTTTTTTCGACCCTCAGGGGAACACTGCCGGCTTTAACATTTCTAACTTGGCAGTGCTATCTGTTTTTATTCAGTTAAATAATGTTGTGCACTTACTATAGTGGGATATCACTGATACACTTTGAACCTTTTCCAGTTACAAGCAGCTCATTGGTAGTTTTTAAATAGTCGCTCATCACCAAACAATACATTTTAGAGTTATAAGTCTAATTTTTCCATCGCATTTAAAGCAGTTTTATTTCAGTGCTCTAAAAAATCTGTGTCTTTTTCAGCTGCATTCAAACCAGCAGAGCAGCTGGAGATGAATGCTGAAAGAGGGGCGCTCTGTCAGGGATTAAATGATGTATGAATAGAGCCGTAGATGCCAGATTATGTTTGTTTCTGTTTGTACCAATTACTCACCTTGCTATGGAGCAGAGCACTTTCTGTTCCGCTCTTCAGCATGGACTTAGAGAAGCATACACATATTTGATTTCAGACAGCATGAACTAAAAGCAGAATCAGTTCACAGGGTCACATCTTTCTGGGATACAAAGACTGTATTTCTCTGCTCTGAGAAAACTTTGTTCTCTTTCTGCTCTTTGGAAATGTCATCAGCGTCTGCAGTTTCCATAATCAGGGAAAAGCATCATTTTCAGACAGTCTGACAGGACTGCATGAGTGACAATGAATTTGCAAACATTTAGCGTTACTACATCTTTCTGTCTGCATAAAAATGAGGAAGGTGATGAGTTGAAAAGTGGAACAGATTGGCAGACAGCAGTGCACACCCTGTGTTGTACCACTGCGAAGAAAATATACAAGTCTGTTTAAGCAGCAAAGCGAATGTTTCTATACATTTTAAACAGTCGACCAAAATGTGAGTTATGCAAGTCAGTGGACTGTATGGTAAATCGACTATTTTCTGCTCCAAGATCTATTAAATGCACCAAGATCTTCTGGCCCAAAAAGAGTAAAATATGGAGAAAGAAGGTCAACAGGAAACAAACCCTGGAAGATTTCAGCCCTCAACCAGAGAATTAAGGATATGAGATGGAGAACTTTTAGGAGAATGATGGAACAAATCACAGTCATTCCTCTCAGACATTGGCTTTCACCACAGAAACACAGCAGTGAAGATGGCACGTCTATTCAAGCAGATGGGGCGATTCGACAGTTTTTATGGTAAGAGTGGGAGAAAAAATCAAAACAGCATAATATTTCCATATTTTGTCTGGTGATATATTGTATCGTCTCATCTACCAAGTATCTATTTTTGCAAGTCAGTTGTTAATATAAAGTCAATTCTATGATAATGGGAGAATAAAATCAACTGTTTGTCCAGTAAGGTTAGCAGAGATAACTTCATAGAGCAGGAGAAAGTTAGTGCAAAAAACATGGCAGCACCTGAGGAAGGACTTTAGGAAAGCAGGCAGGGCACAAATAAGATGGACCTGACACATAAGGTTTGCAAGATTTGCTACATGAAAATAAAATACTGCATCAAAAAGACAAAAATAAAGGAAAGACAAATGCTAAATTAGCTAAGTAGTTGAAAAAAATATATAGATTGCAATATATGTCACTGTATCGCAAAATGTTTAAAATCGCTGTAATATCAAAACATGGCCCAAGTATGATAATATCGTATTGTGGGGCAACTAGTGATTCCCACTCCTGTTTTATTGATATTTAACCTTATTTTTATCACATAATTTTGACCTTATTCTACAGTATCTCAGCAATTTAGCCCTGTTCTCACTAGCTAACATGAGTTGTGAAATATTTTAATGTAGCGTCTTGTTTAATGTTCATCAGGCGTGTTAGGAGCTGTGTTATTATCAGTGAGAGTGCTGACAGTCTTTACTATCGAACCCTCAGTAAAACACCAAATTTAACAGGATAACTTCAGGTCTGGATGCAGAGAAAAATCTCACCCTCTAAATAAAGAGCAGACAGGACCAGAGGCTGATAATACAGAGGCAGGTGAGATAAAATTCAGTTTATTCAATGTAAACATGATTTAGCCTAAATGATTGGAAAGACCCAGATAAAGGACTTTACAAAGCACACAGTGAAGAGCTAAATCCTAACACTGCAGGTGAATTCCTGAATCACAATTATTATACACTATTTTACAATGATTTAAATAATTGTGTAACAGCGTAAACGTTAAAATAAGGTGACAAAAACAACCTGTGAGGTAGACTGGCTCATATGTTTTATTAATGTAGCAGAAAAAAATGATTACAGGAGAATTTTTATCACAGAGGCAAAAGTGAAATCCTAATATTCCTTATGTTAATACTTTTAAAATACTGATTTTATGGCAGGTCCATTTTGTTTCCTGTGTGAATGAGCAGTTCAGAGCTGTGAGGAGAGGAGTGATGGTGATGGTGAGTGATGACGTTCACCATGAAGGTAAAGGTGTTTAACCTAGAGGATGATCGTCATGAGGGAGTTCTCAACAGCTGCAGCTTGAATAGTAATATGTGAGATTTCAGTAGTTAGTTGTACCTGTTGTAATGGGACATGATTAATTGATGCCACTAATACGAGCAAAAAGAGACAAGAGATTTTTGCACTTATGATTAAATAATTTAAAATAAGTTATCTTGACTGAAAATATAGCCTCTTAATCTGCAATACATACGAGTGAAAATACTGAAACACAACCAGGAGAATAAATGATTAAATGCAAAGTAAATGCACACGTGATATATTAAGAGGTTGTTTGTTACCCCCCTCATTTAAATATTTATAACTACATTAAAAAAAAGAGTTCTACGGGAATAAGGATTTATTGATGTATTCATTCATTTACTCTTTGATGCAGTAAGTTAGATAATTCACATAAATTAGAACCTCATCAGTCCTGATTTACGCTTAAATTATTGCGCATTAATTACTTTCAATAAGTTTTAAATTTTAATGATCTAAAAGTTGC